TCAAATGAACATGGTATGAAACCATTGATGTCTAAAGTTTTTGCTCATCTTTCAATTCACTAAATAACCATCTATCATGTTGCACAGAAATCTTCATAATCAATAGAACATGTTAAACACAGGTCAAATATTAAATTCTTTACACAATTTACTTTTAATTATATTAAAACATAATGGGCGATACAACCATTTAAAATGCATTAGCAACAAGTATTCTATAGTACAACGAATAATTTATTTTAAATCTCTTTCATATCTACAGGAAAAATTAAATATTTATGATTGCATTTTACTCTTTGAGTCAATCGGAATGTAATGTTTACTTGGCTAATGAACAAACGAATCTCCTGGACAAATACAAATGAGTCAGTTTTATCTTGTTTCATAATGATATTAAATTCAATTTGAACTTAAATATACACAGCCATAAATTTAGTTAAAAATCATACTGAAGTAAACTTCCAAACTAGAAACAATGACAAATGAGCCAATAAATAAAATGAAGATTTGAAAATTAACATGTACTTCCTTGCCTTGCACAAAATTTGGGAAAAAAAAATACCCAAAATACATAATTTAAATATGATAATTTTAATAAATTTATAACTTCTCTGATAAGTTATCTAAAACAACTACATTCTTATTACTCCTAGAATTATATTTTGAGAACTTGCTCCAATTTCTTTTCTAGCTTTGTGTTAAAAACAATAAATGTATACTAAAAACTATATAAAAATCACCTTGCTAGTTTTATACCTAATGCATTTCGAGCTGCTTACGACAAGCTCCTATAACTAGTTGTCTTAGTATCTATATATTTCCTTAATATAGTTTTCTATTATTAAATTATTATGGCTTGTGGATTTCAATAGACAAAACATTAGATAATAGGTTTTGAATACTTTCCCAACTGATCAAAATGTTCATTTAGTCCAGTTAATTTAAAAAATGTGTGTAACAGAATTATTTGAATTAACAGTATATACTCAGACTAAATACTAAATTTTACTTTACAAGTAGACAGCAGCACAATCTAGAGAAGATAACACCTTTTTTTTTTTGCAAGAAATTTTAAGCTAACAAAATAATTTACAAAATATTTACATTAATAATGTAACCATTAGATTTTGATATCATTTGCAAAACTGTTAAAATAAAACCTACAATATAAAAAGGTAGGAATAAAACATGATACAAAATCATGATATTGTACATTAAATATATATATATATATATATTTGTACTTTGACAAACCTTTACCATATTACTGTAAATATGTAATGCATTACTTTTAGTTTTAGAAAATAAACATTTGTAAATTGCAGAAAAACGTATGTGGGAAATACAAGTAAATCCCTTTATATAATACATATCTTATTAACATTTTCAGGTTAAAATTTGCAGTAATGTTAACACAATGAAAATGTAAGAAAATTTAAATCATTCTCAATCCAAAATATCAGTAATTACCTCATACAGTTTTGGAGCACTGCATAAAATGTAATATATTTTTTTTACCAAATAATTATACGTTTGTAATTAATATACAAAAAAGTTAAATCTGTGATGGACAACTTGTCCTGTTCTATAGAGCAGATCCACAATAGTTAAATATTACTTTAATTATGCATTTAAATACAAATCCTAAACTAGATTTGTTATAAAAATTATTTCTAGTATGCTAATTAAATTTATGAAAAAGATGCAGACTTTCATTCAAAATGCTTCTTTCAATTCTTATTTTATCTGATCTTTAGGTTTTGACATCTTTAGAATTTTTACATGCAACAGTTGTAACAACTATTTATGATGGAAAATGTCTTGATGAAAATTTTAATTTCTTACAGTTAGATTTGAGATACTTGTTAAACTGATAAAGCAAAACCTACAAGATTCCAATTTCAGTTAAGAAAACTGCTTTTAAAGACATAACTCATTAAACTCAATTAAATACCAATAATAACTTGGGGTTAAAATATAAAAATATAGGGTTATGTATGCCTGTATAAGAAAAATGTCAGGTGTCTTTCTGGTGCAGAACAGTGAGTCAAAAGAGACAAATAATTTCCTGGAGTTCATCAAAACTAAATTTTTCTGTTACATAAAAATCCACTTTGGGAAACCCTGATTTACACAAATAAAACTGTTAAAATCTTGGTCTCATAATTTGTTGTTCTTTTCATTACTTAAAAAGTTTCAAATAAACGTTTTGAGAAAATGTGTTTAAGTTTCTATAAATGGTGTTAACCCTTTAGCAGATATAATTGCTCTCTTTATATTTGGTGAATAAAAATAATTGTACACATATTAAACACCACAGTTCATGATTTTGCACACTGATAGATAAATATATGAGCAATGAAAAAACACAACAATTTATTTAAAAAATCATCAGTACTAGGATAATTTTTAGTTAATGTCCCAGCATTGGAAAAATTAATGGGCTTAAAACTATTTGCTTCATATAAACTGAATTACTTTGATAAACATCCACAGAAACTGTGTGCTTGCATGTTACAACTGTATAGTGCATTTATGTTTGATTATGTCTGTGAAAAATAACAGTCCTAAAATCTAACAATACTCTGCAAAAGAAGAAGCTGGAGAAACTTAAGACTAAAAAAATAAAAACTTTTTATTAAACATTAAAAAAAGTTGATTTAACTCATACTGAAATAAAACATTGTCAACATAACTTATAATGTACCATTAGTCTTAAGGAGTTCTAATGTACTATTTTCAGGTAAAAACCACAGATTTCCCAACAAGTATCAGAGAAATAGACCTGCGAATAACTACAGATTCATTCAGGAAATAAGAAAAGCAATTCTCATCAGGTAACTTAACAAGGTAATCTTAATGACTTTCAGGACCACATTTTGTCATAACAGCATGTAAACTAAATAACTGAAAATTTGAAAAAATCTGTATCACTATAGCAGATAGGAAACATATTATATGCCTGCATATCAGACTAATCCTTCAATACTGTTTTCATTTAATACAAGTTCATCACTATAAATACTACTTACATGATAACATTACACACATACCAGAAATTTGATAAATGTTTCATTTTACCTTTATTTCGAGTTTTTTGATTAATCAAAAATATTTTTATGTGAATTAAAGAAAAATAAAGCAATTTCATAGTAGAAAGAGCTCATTCTTTAAAATCACCATAGGTCATTTTGTAAAGTATTAAACAACCACCATGAAGCTCCCCTAGCAGTGACATATGGATACTTAATTTATATAGGACCATGTAAAATAAATGCTAATTTTTTAGGTTTGTGATATGTATTATCATGATCTGGCAATGAAATACAAGCATTTGGTCTAAATATAAGCAAGACTAGTGAGAGCAGATAGACTGTGTGTTATAAGTTATATTTGTTGATTATTAGAAGTAATACAGCTTATCGGAAATACTCTTTGATTATTAATTGTGATGTGACATTATTCTTAAGAACTGTTTAATATTACTAATTATTATTTCAAGTAATCTTACAAATTAAACATTTTCCTTCTTTTAGTTCTTTTTTCCTAATTTGATATTGATAATGTTTTTTCTTTGGCTATATCTTTGATTAAGTTTTAGATATTTAGTTACAAAAAGTCTCAGACAGACAATAGTTTATTGATTATTAATTTCTGAAATTTATAACTTGGATTATGATTAATAGATTTGTAATTTTTTTTTATCTTGCCCTAGTAGTAATGTGATTGTTTGAAATGATATAATGATAAGATGGGTATTCAATATGTTTCAATCTCCTCAAAGATGATATAATTGAATCACATAAAAACAAACTATTACTGTCTGTAGCTTTTGCAAATGTAACCATTAAATTAAGGTTATTGGTGAGTAATGGTACTGGCTAATTTTGGTCAATCCTAAGGCACCTCTTTGCTTAAACAAATACATAACAATACATGCTTCACAGATATAAGAAGTAATAATGCAAAAATTAAGCCTCATATTACTGTTTATCTAAATACATTCTCAAGGGCAGATACAGGCCTGGCATGCATGGGTGCACACACCCCTGTTTTGAAAATCAAATCAAAATAATTGCAAAAATTGGATCAAAAATGTAGTGAAATTTCATGTTAAATAAAAAATAAAAAAGTAATAGCAACATCTAGCAGACATTATAACAAATCTAAATAACCCATTTAACCCATACCAGGGAAGTCCTGAAAATTCCTCGTTTACATTCAGAATCACCATGCCTCCCTGTTTTCAAATGCCTGGATTTGCCACTGATTCTAGCTGTAAATATTTCCTTCTTTTAATACTTAATTTTGATTTCATTCCATTGAAAAAGTATAGCAGATATTGAATCACTTACTTAAAGCCCATTGATCTTCCACATATGACACTTAATAAATATTTCAATTTAAGCTATTACAAGTTCATAAATTAATTTCATGCTTACCATATACATACCAAATAATATAGTACATTGTACAGAACACTTCACAGAGCTATTGTACTGCTAGATATATATGATTGTTAGGAAAAATATTTCATTTAAATAATAACTTTTCTAATAGTGCTTTCAGTTCTTCAGGAAATATACATTAAATGCTTAATATACAGTTACTGTGAATTAAGGAAATCAAACTAAAACATTAATGGAAATATTAAGACTTTAAAAATTAATATTTTGAAACCATAAATTATTTTATCAAAGACAATCTTTTGCAGTTTCAAAACTAACTATATGTAGTCGTTTTAAAATAAAGAATTACATGTTAAATTCCAAAGTACCTAAATAGACAAAAATAGTTTAATAAAAAGTTTTAATTTTGTTAAATGTTAAAATGAACATAATTTGTTTTAAAGACTATGAATATTTAAGCCATATTACTTTATATGATTTTTTTAGTTTCAAACAAAAAGTGTAGAACAACATTAATAAGAAAGTTTGATAACTTACAGATGATTATATCATCATAAATTCAAAATAATTTATAACTGGGGTGCCTCTTTAAATATATATGTGTCTAGTTTAACAAATGACAGTATTATTTTTAGCTGTTAAGGCAATTGGCTTATTGAATGAGTTGTCATTGGCAGTAGTGAAGACCAACACTTCACAAGAGTTTAAAACTGGAATTCTATAATTTCCAGAAAAATAAATGGTAGGTTTAAGTTATTGTCTTTCCCTTTTTCTTGAGGGTCAGTGTGTAGGAACCACTTTGAAGGACCAAATTATCCCTGTTTGTATATTATGTTATCTGTATGTTATTATATTCTATAGTACCATTAATTTTTAACATGTGGTAGTGAATTTTGGTGAAACTAAATAATAATAATAAAATGTGTTTTGGTGAGTAGTAACAAACACCTGGATAATGTGTGTTTTTACCTGACAGTGAAATCAAGTTGAGATAACTGTGAGACTAACATTTACCTGGTGAAAACGATTTGTGTGAATACTGTGTTATTGCAATAACTGCATGAATAATATATTGTGGTGATAGCTGTATGAACGATCGTGTGTTTCTTAAGCAGAGGATGAATAGTTTTAATGAAGTTAGAGATAAATATCCAAATGTAGATGATGATGGCTAGCAGTGAATGAACCTTTTCTAGAAAGTTATAGAAGACAAACTTTCAAAATGTATGAAAGGATGAAGCTGAATTTCCAATTTTATATCTGAAAAATAAAAAAAGAAGAAAAAACGTTTTATTATGATATAATCTATCCTAGTAATTTATTAAAGCAACAAAATTAATTTTACTTGTTTAAACATTAATGGTAAATATTGAGTCATATACATCTACTTTACCATATTTTTGAAATCTCTTGAGCAATTAAGAAATTAGTATCACACAACTGAAAGAAACCTATGGCTGGTATCACACACTGATACACACTTACAGTTGATATCCCACACACTGAAGCAACCTACAATCAGTACTGCACACACACACTGAAATATTTGTAATTGGTATCCCACACACACTGAAGCAATCTATAATTGGTATCAACACACTGAAGCAATCTATAATTGGTATCACACACACTGAAGCAACCTATAATCAGTACTGCACACACACTGAAATATTTGTAATTGGTATCAACACACTAAAGCATCCTATAATTGGTATCACACACACACTGAAGCAATCTATAATTGGTATCAACACACTGAAGCAATCTATAATTGGTATCAACACACTAAAGCATCCTATAATTGGTATCACACACACTGAAGCATAGTATAATTAAAGTGTTCCAAATTGCAACATTAATTTCTTGATGACCTAATACAAGAATGAGACAAAGATTAACAGACGAACTACAAAAGAAAACAATCAATCTGATAGAAAACAAGATCAAGAAAGTCATAGAAAATGAATAGAAGGATTATTAAAATAAAATTGGTAAAGAATAAAATGGCACTGAAGTACAGAGAGATAACAATACCAAGATTGCAGAAGCCATAGGAAATGTATGAAAGGATGTAAACTTTAAGATAAAATATCTACAAACAGAAATCAAGAATCAAACTAGCTACACCTCTATCTGCATTCAATCAAGAATTTCAACCTCAAACACCATTAACTATGCAATATGGAATAGAAAAATTCATCTGGTCTATAACTGTTACCAGCATTTTTTGATGCTACCTATAACTGCAGGGAGTTTTTGGACTACTCCACTTACACCACTGCCTCATCAAGTTCTGGAATTTAGCTATTTCAACGATGCTGGCCAATTAAAAAACCAACAGACTATGATGGAAAAGTACCATGGGAGATGCAGTTTGAAATAATTTCCAAAGTGAATGTATCAAGAACAAGCTATTTATCCTGCTAGATGCACATTTAAAAGAACCAATTTTAACAACATTAAGCAACCTTCCAACTACCAGGCATTAGTAGCTGTCTTATCAATTAGTACATTCCATCAGAAGCAAGTTTCTTAAGCAAAGTTTGGAAGCAGAATTAAGAAACCTTAGTTAAGCTTGCTGAGGATGTGGATGCTCCATGTATAATAATAGTTTTGATTAAATCACAACCAATTCATATATGCCTTAGTGGATGAGAATATGAAAATTAGTCTAAAGCAAATAAGGTGTACAGCTTCCATAAAGACAATCCCATAATTACTGGATGTCTTTCAATGCTTGTATGTCTATGAGATTGTCAAATCAGATAGTGTAGAGACAACTCTTTCTGATGGAGGTCAAGAAGAGCTCAAGTGACTAATTATACAACTATTTACTCAGAATTAAAGAAGCAAACCACAGCAGAGGAGATGTTTCAATGTAACATAAAATGTCATAGTTACTGGAACTACAAACAAAAGCCTTCAAGGAAACTACAATAATTGTGAGAAACGTGGACATTACAGCCAAGATTGTAATGGATTATCAGTCGTTAATAAACAATATTCCATGTACCCCAATTAATATAAGAAGTGCATTACTTAAAAAAAACAGTCATTAGTTATCAAATTCATTGATGGGAAACTTGTAAGTTGTTGAATGTTACTGGTTCTACAGCTGCAGTTATGCTGATGAAAGCTGGGAAAAGATAGAATAACACAAACAATACTAGTTTGTGATAGATATATTAACAACCAATGAGCCATGAGATGAACAATTATGGGCCATTGCAGGCCAGGACAGCTGTGACTGCCCTAAACTAATGGGTCATCCACTGCATTTGTGGACCTTTACTATTGTGTCAAATAACTAAGTGGACCCTGAGGTGTAAAAGGTTCAAGGAAAGTTAGAAGTCACCATCACTGTGAAAAACTTCTCTAAAGAACACAATTTGTGGGTAATTGGAATAGAGAAAGAATGCACACTGGGAATAAATTTCATGCTGAAACACAGCTAGATGTGATGTCAGACTTCTTTCAAATAGTTTTAGAGTCTATGATCCAGAAATCCCTGTATAGTACTTGCCAATACAACACCAGAGGTTATTTGTTTGTATGTTTGTTTTGTTTTTAAACACAAAGCTACATAATGGACTATCTCAGCTGTGCTCACCATGGATATTGAACCTTATTTTTAGTGGCATAAGCCCTCAGATGTACCAATGAGCCACTGGAGGACCAGATATTGAATTTCCAGTAATAAACAGGATGGAAGCACAAATATGAGTGAGTTAGCTAACCATACACAGTCCTTCAACTACTGAAAAAGTACATTTCATACAAATTTAACACTGCCATTGAAGAAAATAGACAAGTATGTAATTCAGGAACAAACACTGAAGGCTGAAATTTATTGAATATATTGCAATGTAATACCAGTAATAAATTTGGACTGTTCAAAGCAATGTTTCTTAATAGTGTGCTGCTCAGCACTATCTCTAAAATTTACAAAATGTAAGTATGTTAATAACTCATGGTATGTAGAAACAAACCTCATTGATCAAATAAAAAAAGCAGAAATTTATGTTCTATCTTTTGATGAGTTTCTACATCACTTGATTAGTGGAATATTTAGAAGTAGCAGAGAGGGTTTTACAGCTGTTGCCAAATGTGAATGGAGACATCAAGAAGCCATCCAGCCAAATATAAAAAACAAACACATTTTATGCAGCAAAATACAACTTTTCTAACACAAGACTATATTACCTTTTGCATAAACATCTCAAAGAGGATAGAAAAGAAATTAGAGAGATGATCATTTTGGTTCTGACACTTTCTAATTGTTAGTCAGATACAGAGAGAGAATAATTAGTAAATTCTGATATGGAGGTTGAAAACCTTAAAGATTAGAATATTGTCACAATGAAAAAGGTCCACAATGAAGTGCAGAAGACAGCCAAACATTTAGTAGAATACCTTAACACTACAGAGCTTCTAAAAATTTGTAAGTGGTGAGAATGCGGTATGGTGAATTCTTATCAATGAGAAGTAGAATGAAGTAGAGAATGAGAAAGAATTTCAGAATGAGTTGAAAGAAGTTAAAAATATGTAAAATCAAAACTCACAATCATCATAACTAAACTAAGCTAGAATGCTACAGATTTGATGATTCAAGTAGAAAAAAAACATTAATTTATGTGTTTGGTCAAATCAAGTGTCTACAGACAAAAAATTCAAATGAAACCCTTGAAAAAAAGTGTACACTAAAAACAAGAAAGAAAAAGTCAAAGCTTGAAAATATTAAACAGTCAAAGTGGTGAACTGTATAGAAAAAAAGAAAAGTCTGAAAGAATGTTTAAAGTGCTATTTTGAATGAAACAAAATAATATCATGAAGAAATTGTAATATCGTCCTAGATATTTTATGTTGTGTCTATTTTTTGGTGTTGTTGAGCAACAGTATTTGTTTTTTTAGACAAAAATATATCTATGTAATGTTAAAGCATAATAACATATTTAAATAAAGTGAGTAGATTGGATAGTTGAAATGGTTTGTAAGCTGCAAATTTCTGTTTTATTTGTTTTTTTACACAAAATAATGAAGAATTTAAGGTCATAGAAAAGTCCTGGACTTTTGTAAGTTTCTGTGTGAACCCTGTATGAGATGCTGAGCTCGAAATGTTTTTTCTTCTGTTTTTATGACAAAATATATATATATATTAGCAACATTCTTAACCCTAAACATTATACAGAAGATACTGGAGTTGGCCTGAACAATGTACATATTAATCCTTTGACAGTAATTAAAAAGCATTAGAGATTAAAAATAAAGTGCCAGGACCTAGCATTTTTTTTTATTCAGGATGTTAAAGGCAGTCAAAGGTCAGATATAGAAGCCTCTCTTTTTCTTTAATTTTTTGGTCAGTCAAAAGATAGTTGGAAGGTGCCTAAGAATTGGAGAATTGTTAATTTTACTCCTGTTTTTAAAAGGGGGTCATAAAAACTGCCCTTGAAATAATGGACCAGTTAGTCTTACTTTTGCAGTGGTAAAAAATCTAGAAAGTCTGAATAAAGAAGCCTTACAAGATACCTTACTGAAATATGATATTACAAAATAGAACCAAGATGGATTTCCTGAAGAGAAATATTGCCTTACTAATCTGTTAACTTTTTAAAGATGTCATTTGTTATTTAGATGATGGAAAGTGTGCAGACTTAGTCTACTTAGACTTTCAAAAGGCTTTCAAAATGACATCACACAGAAGAATGACTAAGAACATAATATTGGTGGGAAAGACTAGTTAATTGTATTGAATGGTGGCTGGATGAGAGAAAGCAAAAAAGTTGTTACTAATGGAGTACAGTCAAACTGGACCTTTGTCACTAGTGGTGTGCCTCAGCAGATAGTGCTTGAGCATTTGCTTTTTTATCATTTATATTAATGACTTTAAAAGGGGCATAGTTATTAAGTAATATAGATATGTATGCATATTATGTATATAGTGCTTTGGACTTGAAAATAGATTCTAGCGAGTTTGAGGCTTGCTCGCAGCATGTTGTTGTGTCCTTGAGCAAGACACTTACCCCAATTGTTTTAGCCTACCCAGATGTATATTGGATACCAATGCATAGTTGGGAGTTAATCTGTGATAGACTGGTACCTGTTCAGGTGGAATGTATTATCACTCTCATCTGCTTGTGCCACTGAAACTGGATTTCAGCATCAGTTGCTATTGTGCATGCCTTCTCAGCATTTAATGGATTTAACTCAATTGGGGCATAATTAGTAAATCAGTAGCAGTTACTGACATTAAACCTACTTGGGTACAAGTATTTCTAGCTATACTGATGATATTGAGGTGCTACATAAAGACTAAGATCAATTTATATTTATTAAGTTGAACAAATGTTTGACAACTGATAATTATAATATGTGCAAGATAATATATTTTGGTTATTATACTTTGGAACACATGTGATAGAAGAAAAGAATCTTGACAAAGTGGTATGGAACTCAAGCCATTGAGAAAGTGCTCTTTTGCTAGTAGCAGAAAAACTAACAGATGTTTAGGATATATTTATAAAAATCATTGGTTAAATATCAAATACAAGTTGTTATATTTTTATATATAGTCAGAATATAGTACACAGTTATAGTCTCCATATCTAAAAAGCATAATGATTTATTGAAAAGGGTTCTTAGAGAAGTTACAAGAATGATTCCAGGGATTGAAGGGTTTTCTTGTTGGTATAGGTTAACAGCTATTAACTGAAAAGAAATTCAGTCAAGACAGTTGATAGAGTCATTTCAAGATAGAAAGTTTAATTAGTCAGTGTCTTTTCATGAAGTATTTGGATCTGTGTTTTACATCATTCTTATTGAATTATGTTGTACAAGTAAATTGATTTTACATTATACCTAGTATCATTAGAGAGATTGGAAAATTATTTATAAAGTAGTGTACAAGTGTTCAAGATTGTAGACATTAAAGAAAGAAACTGATGTTTTTTAGCATTATGTAGACAGGACATTAAATTATTTCCACTATGAAATTTTAAAAAACCTTCCAAAAACATCAAAACAATAATTAGACCTGGAGATTACAATACTTTAATTACTATCACTAATATACAATGATATTTTTAAAGCACCAAATTGTTTGCTAAACCAGCTATAACAAAGTATATATATAAAGAAAAATGGCTTGAGTAAACTTTTTTATAACAGGTACCAATTTAATTTTATCTTTCAAATAGAGATTTTAAGTTCTCTGATTTACAATTATAATATAAAAATGTCTGCAGTTTCTTCTCAATAAATAGTTTTTGTCATCTTCTTTTACTCATTTCAATGTTATTGGTGATGATATTTGGGTAAAATCTTATATAAATTTACTAACAACTCTTATTCAAAGTAAAACCTTACCAATCGTGAAGCTAAAAACATTGTCTTACAGATATCTGAAGTTACACATCAGAGAAGACTATCTTGTTTTGACTGTAAAAAGCAAGGTATAAGAAACTACAAGTTATCCATTTAAATAATAACACAAGAGCCTGAATAAATAAACTAAACTTTTTAATTCCACAAATTGAGCATTAATACTTAACCCTTAAGTACTTATTTAACATTTACATGCACATAAGTTCCACATACTAGTTCAAGCCATTACAAATAGGAAAGAAAAATGTAATATAACAATGCTAAAGAAACATTTAATTCTTCATTCCTTTCCAAGTTAAAATCATCAGTGGTAAGACATCTATTTGCAGACTTTATGGATTGGGAACAATTATTATTTGTCTGGGGTCACATGACTTCACACAAGTACTTTAGGGTTAAATTTCACAAATGCTGTAGACAATATCATCTAAACCAGTGATTCACAACCAATGAGCCATGAGATAAACAATTATGGGCCATTGCAGGTCGTGACAGCTATGACTTCCCTAAACTAATGGGTCATTTAGTAGGTCATTAATGGGCATTTGTGGACTTTTACTGTTGTGTCAAATAACTAAGTGGGCCTTGAAGTGCAAAAGGTTGAGAATTCCTGAGCTAAAGGACAGAGAAAATTACATCAGAGTTAACAAACGTTAGAAATCACCCTTTCATCTTTTTGAAATGGCAGATATAACTATCAGGATCAACAATAGAATGTGTGTTTGAAATTACACATAAATATTCTGTTTCATCAATATACATGTGTTTGTTATGCTTACAGTCCTATGTTCAAATTAAAGTCAAGTACTCATTAAATACATTGTTCTGTTTTAAAATTAAAAGTCCTATATTTATCAAACAAACACGTATATATATATATATTTATATTTCCATGAATGTCAACATTCTAAATTTGATGCACCCATGTCTCTCAGTATATATGAAAAGCTCTTTATTTCTATTACGTATGAACAGACTACAAAATCTTAAACCTGTAATAATTCAACCATAATACTTTCAAAATAATTACAATATTTCTTTTTTTAAATCTAGATATGCAAAAAACAAATTAAATACTAGAAGACTTGTTAACCTTTCTTTAAGTTTTTTACCTGTATTATTTTCTAATGGATCAATATAATTTTCCACTGGAGAGTTGTTTAAGGGCTAAAATGGTAAGCAAAAATACTGGTTTTAAAAGCAAAACGTTTTGCAACACGACATTTTTGAAAGTAAAAATATCAAATATAAAACTTCAAAAAATTCAGATTATAAGCTTTTCTTACATTTTATTTATACAAGTAATAGGTGGTTTGCAAAGGAATTTGTTTATAGTTATGTTTGTGTACTGTTACATTTTTACCTAGGGTTTTTACTTTTTCTAGCTTTCACATATAATTTCGATTTAACATTTTTCTAGCCATAATACCACCTAACAGACACATGATGTCATTGAATAAAATGTGGAGCACACTCTGTAAAATTTGTTGAAATGCCTATGGTACCAGACTTTTCAGACACTATATTAAACAACACTTCTATGAAATGGTTGTAGTAAAAGCTAGTGTCCCTCATTATAGTGATGCTAGTCTGTCTTTGTAACAGACAATGATATTTTCAAACGTTAGATTTAGAAGTATAAGTAAAATGGGGTTTTAATCATCACATGACCCCAAGTTTCAATTTTCAAGACTATATGAGGTAAGAATACAAATTTTTCCTGGAAGACCTCTCATTTTCTAAATGTTTAGTGTTTCTAAATGTGTGAACAATTTTGAAATTCTCTCTTTTTTTTCACTTACTTAATCACTTCATATTTAAGATTTATTCTTCATCTTTTATATCTTCTTCTCTATGCTTAAGTATTAGTTTCTAGTAGCTTTAAATTTATAAGTTTTAATTTTACTCAAGTAAAAATTTTACATATAAAATCAGGTCAAATGCTCAAAAGGAAATGTGATTCCTCTCATCTTGGACAAAATAGTGTATTCTCTATTATGATGTTACTAAATTTAAACAAGAGGGAATCATCAATAGCCATGGCACTTGAAATTCTTTTAGGTAGGATTATAGAGTAAGTTAACCTATGAGACCTTTGTTTCCCTTTGTATTAGCTATGTGTTTGTGTGGCAGCAATACCAAGCGTGGAGCGTGCATATCCCTTTTTCGATTTTATTACTCATCAGGATCTCTACCCTCAACTTGAAATTCTCTTAGGCAGGATTAGAATAAATTAATCTAGGAGACCTTGAGCATGGCCAAATAAATCAGAACTGTAACTATATCTCAAATTGGTCAAGAAATGATGGAGCTATGAGCTAAAAGTGTGTACTTGTAAAACTCAGAGCCATTCTATGAGTTGCTCATCTATGACTAAAAACAAAAGTGTCATGTGAAAACATCATAAAATAGTCTAAAACTTTATTTTCTCAAAAGATATAGCACTTCCTGCTTATTAAAAATAGTTTCTGTTGTATCTAGATTGAATATCTCTAAAACTTGTGTTGCGAGTTAGATAGCTAGGCTTGTTTTTGGTAAGTTTCTTATAAAACTAATTTATGTATAAAGCTTATTTTCTTCTTTTAAAAACGTCAAAGCTGTAAAATTTATTTATAAAAGATATATAATATATTTCTAAATTAAATAAATATTCTGTCCAGTATGCTTTTGAATGAATGTCTTTTTTTTTTTACCTGTACAACTTGAAATGTTTGTGTGGCGACAGCCGTATAATTTTTAAAGATATCATTCCTAAACAAAGACTGCAGTTTTTGGAGTTGTGAGAGGAGAGATCTGTAGAGAGAAACAATATAAATAAGTATTAAACAAAACAATACTGAACAAGTTCAATCTAAATACAATTCAATCTGAGCTACTAAACACTTTTACTATACATTCAGTAAACTTAATAAAATTTTGAAGCAAAAAGTCAATTAAACTCATTACATTGTCATCCTGATATTAAAAAACATTATCTGAATAGTTTTTTTTCATGAATAATAAGCTATAAACTGAATAAACCTAAATTTAAGACACATTTAAAAGATTATGTTGCATTCACAATGTCTGACTGTATCTTTAATACGGAAAATAAAAACATAAAAGGTTGATCTTAACTTACTTCTAAAAAGTTTTCTTTTTCCATTTATTTCTTAGTTACATTTCCTACTTTCTGAAGAAGTCAGAAGGTAAGTTCACAAAATGTAATCAAGAAAAAAGAATGCTTTTCAAGAGTAATGTAAGAACAAACTTTTAGATTTTAAATTAAAATGGCACTTATTCCAGTTTCCAAGGAAGTATAAAAATTAGCAATTCCGTATCTGAAAATACTATTGGAAATAGTTAAATTTGATTATACTTTTGTAAGCCTATAAACAATGTTTGAAATTTCAATAATAATTTTGAATAAAGAATTACTGTATAATAAATGTATCAGTTTATGGAGTGTAAACCACTTGTCCTTTACGTTTGATATACAAAATTGATTTCAAGCAAAATTAACTAAGTATAGCTTAATATAGTTTAAAAATTAGTCACCTTACATATTCATAACTAGTTATGTTCCTAATGACAGTAATACTTTCTTACACAAGTACACACACACATATGTACATCCCAGTAGACATACAGAAAAGAAAAACATTCTTACAAAGAAAAAAAGCTTAGAAAAAATTACTAAACTTTACTTAAAATCTCTGAGAAAAGATTTTAGAAATGGAACAACAAATCTTTACAGGTGTTTTTCCTACCTGTCAAACTTCACAAAAAAATAGATTCACAAGGTGAAACAAGAAACAAAACATTCATCCAGAAAAACAAAATCAGAATGATGATTGACAAAACATACTCCGTACTAAAAAGATTGGTTTCAACAGAAGTGACATACCCAACTCTCCACTAATGTTATGCCTGCATATCAAATCGCACAAGAAATCCTCTTTTTACAAAATGAATAAAAGATAAACTGTAAAGCTAATGCATAATATTACTTTATTTCTTATTATTTTCTTTTAAATGTTTCAAAAAACTATGAAAATAATATATTTATAGCATTTATAACATTAAATAATCTCCTCAATAAATAGTTTATTTGTATTTTTAAAAAGGAATTTCTGTCTGCAGGAGTAAGTGATTTTTATCAAACATTTCCGTATAAAATATTATAAGGTTAGGAATAGTTATAACTTTTATTCATTGTGTAATGGTCTTCAGATTCTAAATTATTCATTTATTTGATAGTTGCGTCAGCGAGTCACATGACTACAGTGATGCAACGTTTCTAGAACTATCATGTACTTTGGCGAATGCTCTAGTATTTACTAGATAGGGTAGGCGGGTATATATAAGAGGGGACAACGTGACGCGAGAGGAGGGTGAAGGTAATGTGTGTATAGACAGTGAGTAATTGAACTGCAGTCAGAAGTATTGTAGACGTTCGTTGTTACAGCGTTTGTTTAGCGCGATTGTTGAAGTTGAGTGTATCGGTAAAGTTATATTCGGAAAGAATAAACCAGTTTTATTAAGTAAAGACTTGTGTCGTTAAAGTTTCGTCGGAACGAATTTACGGAGAGTTAATTAACAAACGGAGACGTAACAATATGAATATGTTTTGCATTTTTTAATGATTTCACAGAAAAATACTCAGAATATCAGTAACTAGAACATTTGTTGAGATAATAAGATGAGCAATTGCAATTAAAGTAAATCATAAATGTTACTCCATCTACTGGGTTTAGTACTTTATTTTCTAAGATGTTCTATAATGTATACAGATGATTATTTACAATTTTTGTAAGTAATGATTACATTTGATCTACTAGTACTTTTCCTGGCAAGCATATTCTATCTACTTTCCCTACTTCCAAACAATGACTCATATCATCAGTGATGTGCCATATAATTAAGCTTTTCAGAGAACAGCCATTTCAAGGTCTCTTTCCTTCCTCTTGGCAGCTTCCCATTAACCAGCTAATGTCTTAGGTTTGAAATTTACAAATGCACATTTAAGCACATCAAGGGAACAGAAACCATTAGAGCCACATCAGACTTGAAAAGTATGTGGCTGAATAGTATTATTTTGATTCCAGATTCTTAGGGTCATCTTCTCATAAAAGAAGTCATTAATTTTAAAGCATGTGAGCCCTTGTCAACTCAAAGCCTTGTTTAGTATGTTTTTACTTGAACCAGTAGATACATTCAACTTATTGCAATATGGTTTTTGGATTGAAAGACTTTCTTTCATAATGTAGCCTTCATTGTGCAGGTTAAGGCATTGATCCAGATTGGCTTGAGGTGGTTTGGGTTTCTAAGCCTGCTAATGTTCTAAATGCTATGCTGTGTGAGTTGTTCTGCTTCCATGGAGGACATTTAAAAAACACTATTCTTTGAAATTTGTCTCCCCTAACTCTATATCATTACCAATCTCGCTATATATATTTCTTGTTATAAAATGCAGTAAAACAATCTTCCAGACACATATCAAGTTTTGGAGGCATTTTACAGGTCAGAACTTTTATATGGAAGGCAGCTTTTTGTCAGTTAACTGACCATAGTTCTAGAGCCATCTCAATATTTGCAGAGAAATGCTAATTAATCACATGCATTTCTATAACCTGTAAATGGCCCTCTGTGTATTAGTGATACACCTACAGGGGTTTGTTTTTCATTTACTTACTTATTGCTGATCTTTAAAGATTCTAGTCTTTTCTTATAGTCATCATTTTCATGTGTTAAGTTCTCCACACTGGAAATAAAATAAACATGTTGGCATTATCTCTGAAGTTATGTCTCCACTGAGAGTGTTTCAAAACACATTAATAATTTATAAAAGAATCTAACTTCTACAAGTCATTTGATTAAGTAATAAATTTGAATGTTAAAAATGCAAGAACACACTAGAGCCTACAAATAATTTATCAGTTTTACTTGCTCCATCAACATCACAATCCAATAATCAATGGCAAAATTGGAATTTGTCCTCTTGTTGAAAAAAGCACAGAACAATACAAAGGAAGTAATATTTAAATCAAACACATTAGGCAAACTGAAACCACCCACAAAACTAAGGATTAATATTATAACTTTAGTGAAAGTAAGGTTTATATCTTGGATATCTTATGATTCTATCATTTGACATTATATAGTTATATCTTCTGTAATTTATCTGAAATGAAGCAATTACAAGAAACATGAAAAAACTATTGCAATTTCAAAGGTATAAAATATACCTTTTTTCTAAATTATCCACATATTCTTTTTTCTTTCTTCTACTTTCTTGAGCTGAAATCTGAAAATAAATCAATTTTTGAACTATATTACCTTAAGTATGTTAATTAGATGATTTTACTTACACACCATTTCAATTTTGATAACCAACTGATCGAAAAGTTATGATGTGGACAAACTTGTTCTACACTTTTCAAGTGCATTAGTAAGATCACTAATTCTATATAGTTTTAATGTGTGTGTATATTTTATAAAAACAATATTCCCCGCCACTTTCAGCCTTTAAAACTCTTCCTACTTTAATAGAGTATTTATAAATTTCACGTATTTAGTCTATAAGATCAGGAAGATTAGGTTTCATAACAAATATGATAAACATACTTTTTATATATTTTTTACTATAGCAACTTGTATTGAATAAAATTATTGTCTTAAAAGAAACCTCAGTAGGAAACAAAGATAATGTCACAGTTTTGACATATATCACATACATTACCCTACCAAAAGTAGTGGAACAGCTTCCCCTTAACTCTTAACTGTCCTATCCAAACTGAATTTGCATGAGAATCCCATAATCCAGAATTTTATAGGGTTTTCATAATGGTCAGAAACTGCAACAGAAAGTTGGAGTCAAGGTGTTATAAAATAATTGTCTCACTGATTTTAACAGAGGGATGCAGCATTGGTGGTATGAGTAGTCAAGAAATTTCAGCCAATCTACCAATGCCTAAATCCACTATGGGTTATGTGCTGAAGAAATGGAAGGCCACTGGAAATGATAACATAAAATATTGGAAATGATACCCAAATTCACAATCCATTGATGGTAAGTTTGATTCAAAAATGTTGTTAAACAAAACTACACATGTTTCAATGAATACATCACTTAGGACTTAAATGAAGTGCAATAATGTAGTCCCAAAAGTCCACTATATGGGAAGCTCCATGCTACAGAATTTTACAGATAGGATACAGCTTATAAGCAGTTATTACCTCAGCTTTCATAGCACCTTGAGCCTCAAAAATGGAAATGAAAAGCAATAAATCCCACTACTAAGTGCTTGATTTGGTATAATCAGTGGGGGTTCGATGGTACCTAAGAATTACTTTGGATATGAATGTGTTATCATAACTGTGAAAATTAATCTATGGGCTGTATCATGAAGTTGATCTATTCTAACTTGGCTCATTGACATCAGTTACAAAAGTCATGAATGCCTAATCTTATTGCAAGATATTGACAAATTTTGCACTGCCAGAATTGATGTATTGGAAGGCCAATAACTTCTTCTGTGTGATAATGAATCCTGTCCAGCAATGTTTTAATTGAGAAGAATAATATCCAGAATCTACCTCAAGATCTCAATACATTTGAAATAGCTTATCATGAGAAGTAGAAGCCTGTTCTGCTAGAAACTGTGCGTAAAAACAGTTTGCAGCAGAGGTTAGTAAGAAAAAGCAGCCTGTGATTTACACCAAAGATGGACTCACTTTCTACTAAAGGGGGATCTTGTTGTGGAACACAGAATCTTCTATCTCAAAGTCTTCTGTTCCAGTACATGACTAATAAATAGCTCAGACAATGATACTTGGAAAAATTTAAAAAAAATTATTTTCTTACCAACTAGTATTTGGTCAATAAAATGAAAACCATTTAAATAAATTGTTTACATACATAATTAGTAATGTTTGCCATTCCCCCTGAGATGTTGGTTTGTATGTTTCAATTAACTATATTTATTAAAACCATGAAAACAAGATGTATTTTTACTTTATTTTTAATTTTTCTACGAATTTTCTTCAGAGACTTTTCTTCTGCTTTGGTCAAAGGAAGGTGTTGAGGTACAGTATATCCCTCGGACAGCAGAGTGCGTTTTTCTTCTTCTGTAAGTACTATTGATCCTGTTCCTCCTTTCTGTCAGACAACAATATTATATTTGAGCTCAAAGCAGTAATAACCTATAAATACATTATATAACATATCCTAATGTTTAGGGACAACAAGAGACCTATTGGTCCATCTAGGCTGTTCCATCCTCCAAATTATACTAAAACTATTAAATGAAAAGAAAACCTCAAAGCCAGCCCTTATTGTTCATATAGTTATCAAGCTTTCACCTAAACACACTTAAATGTACTGCTTCCACAAGGCAGCTCATTCCAAAGGCCAACCACCCTGTTAGAAAAATAAAAATGTCTTAGCTGAAGATGACTCTTACTCTGTCAAAATTTATATTTGTGTCCCATAGTCCTACAATTCACACCATTATGTATGAAAAAAAGATGATGCCTCAACTCTATCAATTCCCTTAACTATCTTAAACACCTCAATTAGATCTCACTCTTCTTTCTTAAAAAGAAAACGATTTCAGAGATCTTAAAACCTCTTCTTGTATGACAACCCCTCCACCCTAGGTACCATTCTAGATTAATTCTTCTTTTCTAGTAGCTCTCCTCTGAACCCTTTCCAACAATTCAGTGTCCTTTCTAAGGTAATGAGCCCAAGACTGAACACAATACTCCAAATGTGGCCTAACCAGTGACCTATACAATGAAATTATAACCTCTTTTAGACTTCTATTCAATATTTCTGTAGATACAACCTAAAATCCTATTTGCCCTACCACTAGCAACAGCACACTGCTTGGATGGCCTAGGAAACTGATAACCACTACATCAAGATCCCATTCTTTCATAACACTGTTAATATAATGCTCTAATAACTTGTCTAAATATTGTGTTGCATATCTGCTCGTTTGTTAATTTCCCGTATAAATTCTTTCCGAGGAACATCAGCGATACAAGTCCTTTCTTAATTAAAACTAGTTTATTCTTTCTCGATACAACTTTGTAATACATAGAATTTCCACAGTCACTTTAAACTTAACAATCTTTATAACACACGCTATATATATCACAGTGATTCACGCACTTTACTTACGGTGCCTACTGTTCGCTTGACTCAATTATCTCTACCTTCAATCTATCTGCATATCTATCGCACTGGTTTTACTCGCCAGGCTTATATACTGAAAAAGAGGGCGTCTAGCAAACACTGGGACATTCGCGAGGTTCCTCGATAAGTCATGATCTTTCTAGAAACTCCAGCGCAAATGCTCCCAGCGTCACGTGACTTCCGCTGTCGTAACAATTGTACAGAAGTATTTAACTCTTAAAACCAGATGACTCAATGTTCATTATAAAGAGTAGGGCTCTCTGAGACAATTAGTAACTTCTATAGAGAAAAAACCTAAAAGAATAAAGCCATCATAAAGCTAAGTTTATATTCATGTATAATGAATTCAAAAGCAAGTACATTCTAAACAATATAAAAAGGAGTCAACACAAAAATGAAAACAGAGATTACAACAAGCTCAATCTAACATTTTATAATCATCATTTGATTTGAAATATTCTTCCTAAGACATTTAACAAGTATGAATTTGTTTAATGTTTATTGCAAACTTTTTGTTTGTTTCTAATTAAATACAAAGCAAAGCAATAGACTATCTATGCCGTGCTCACCACGAATATCGAAACTCGGTTTTTAGCGTTATAATATAAGCCTTTCAGATTTACCGCTGAATCATTGGGGTGGAAGGGAAGGGCATTTATTAAAGTTTTCTTTACTCTCTTTAAGATATGCGTGAACCATATTTGTAATGTGGACTCTGTCTTTCAAAAGCCTTGAAACAAGAACTTAGTATATCAAGCCTACAACTGATCGGCTTTGTTCATACCGAGTGAGCTTTGCTAAATACATTCCTAAGTTATCATTTCCATATAAAACGGGTTTTTAAATCACACGTACAACCTCTTCATGTGTACCGTCATCATTAATGCTCTTTAAGAATACTTTCTCATATAATAACTTTAGATTATCTTACGATCACAGTGTTAACTGAAATATTTGCTACGGGTTTATATGACATATAGCTACGCCCTAGTTACAAGCATGCACTTTTTAATTTCTTTGCTTTACATACAAGGTATAATTGTGTTTCAACACTAACAATACGTATTTCTAAAAATAAATATAAAGCTCAAAACATCATATAAAAAATACGCATATCTCAATTTATCAAAACATCATATAAAAAATACTCATATCTCAATTTATCAAAACATCATATAAAAAATACTCATATCTCAATTTATCAAAACATCATATAAAAAATACTCATATCTCATTTCATCAAAACATAATTTCTCAAATGTTCTCTGATGGCAGTTTTCTTTCAGTTATTTTCTTTACACTGTTACACTAAAATAACACTATACGTAATAGCTAATAAGGTAATTTATTCGCAATTTAATGTGTTTTATTGATGGATGAAAAGGCGAATAAGACTTCACTATTACCATAAAAATTTAAATGTAACACCAAACGAATGGGCCATCATATAGATAAAACAAACCAAAATACCAAAGATTATGAGGAAGGTCTTCATGCCGAAAATTTGACTCCTTATTTGTTTTTATTTTCTTGATGAAATCATATAAGTTCTGTGAATATTTATTTCTAGCTAATTATTGTTGTTAATAACAAATATATATTTCTTGACCCTTCATTAAGTCTTAAGGGCTCCCAATTGGCACAGCGGTAAGTCTATGGACTTATAACGCTATAAACCGGGTTTCGATACCCATGGTAGGCAGAGTACAGATAGCCCATTGTGTAGCTTTGTGCTTCACAATAAAAAACAAACAAGTCTTACTGTTACTTTTTTGCATCTGTTTGACGATGCAATATTTACCTTGTCAAAATATTTTACATATTTAAAAACAGCCAAGTTAGAATATAGGGGATAGCCATATAAAATGTGATAATATATATATATAAAAGGGCAAACCCTATAGATATCTAATGTAAAAGAAAATAAGTTAAACAACAAAGAATTGAAGTAAATTATATATTTTTATATTCATGGTGCTGCTTATTCCAATTGCAACAGGTACTGTTTTATTAGACAAACTGCAGTGTGTGCTTGAAAGTATTAAATGGTCAGGTTTATTTAGTAAACCATATTAAAAATCAAGGAGCTTTATTTTCAAATCCTCATTCAAACTTGAACACACTGTGTTAGTAACCCATTTAAGAATTCCGACGTTGGAACAGAGCAAGAAGATAAACGATAAAAGCAGTATTCGTTCTTACCACTCCTTGAACGTTATTTCTTTTAACCTATAACAACTACAATAAGCCAGAAGTAAGGTTTAAGCACCAGCTGTTATCAATACAAATGCATCATCTTAGACCACTATACAAGTCCGTCATTTCAGACTGTCCACTTGCCCCTAGGCCTTATCAAGTCATCAGTGTTTAACCTTGCAGCTGCGAATAGCATATAACCATTGAAATTATCAAAACAATATTTATAAAAGATATTTATATACTACAGTTGTCAAATCTTAGTTCAAATTAGTATCCACCATTGGCGTTTTGTGTCGTGGCGGTTCTCCTTTGTTTACTTTATTTTTTGCCTCTTCAACAAAATGAAAAAAGAAACAACAATTTTTCCACGTTTTGACTGCTTGTCTCTCTTGATCTAAAACAAATATGAAGCTTGTTATTTAATTACTAGAATAGAGGCATTCCAGCATTTGGAACAGCTGTGGCAAATATCCCCGATTTGACCAAATGTTCGGCTGCCGTACCTCTATATACGGGATATTATTCCGACTTCAATCTTAGCTAGAATTATTAGCGTACTTCAAAATCAATTTCATGCTACAGCTATGTAAGTAAACCTACTGTAAGATACCTTTAAAGGTTTAAAGCTTGTTTGTATTATAATTAGATTGTGTAATCCCAAAAGCCAAACTTTAACAGTATTTATAAAGGTCAAATTTTATAAAAAATATGCAGCTGATTAAATTGTTTTTGTTTTTCAAATATCAAATATTAAATTGCTTATTTAGTAAAACTTAATCGTATGCATTTTATGTTAAACATACTTATAAATACTTACTTTTTGATGAACTATAAAGTTATTGATTTATTGTATACAAATTAAGAGCTAAGCTCTTGTTGCAAAGTTCTACGCGTGAAGTCCCCCCAGTGGGACAGCAGTAAATCTACGAACTTGCAACGCTAAAATAAGGGATTCGATTCAACACAGCAGATAGCCCAGCGTGACGTTGCTCTAAAAAAAAAACAAAAAAAACAGACACGTGAAATCTTGTAGTATTGATGCATAGTTGTTTTTTTTTGGGTTTTTTTTTTTTTTTAGAAAACATCGAATAAAATTAAATACACGCTTCTGTTTAGCTTCAGAATGATGCATATGCATTTTATTTTTAAATTTTCTGGATACTTAGAAGGATATGGGATGCATGTTATGTGTTTTTGAATCAAATCTTCGCTGTAGATACAAAGAAATGATTAAAATATCTGTAAATGATAAAAATATGGAGTGGCGAGGAAGGTCAATTGTAAATTGACCGAAATATTGACCACTTGATTCCTTAACACTTGCAATGATTATAAACTTTTCTTTGTATTTTGAGATTCTATCACTGCACTTGTTTGATAGTGGAATCAGCAATTGACTGTAGAACTGGAAGCTTATGAGCTCTCAGTAAGAGACTGCATGTCCTGATATTACACTAAGGGAAAGATTGTAGGAAACCGTAATTATATATCCATACATCCACCATAATGTACATAATTTTGAAAAATGCTTAGTTTCAACTTGAATCTAAGAAACGCTAAAGCACACATAAATAATGATCTTCAAAGTTACAAAAATGAGTAATTAAAGTGTATGAAAATGGTTAACTAAATGTGCCGCCATCTATTGGAACAATCTAAACATAAACGTGAACAAATCGTCGTAAGTTAATGTATTGCGCATCAGGAAAGGAAAATTATCTGCTAATTTTGGAATCTTTTAGTGTTTAAGAAAGAAGCGGAACAACAAATATTGCTCAGCAGTACTGAGTGAGACGCAAACGAATGTTCGTCGTTAGAAAACTCTTTAATAAACATTTTAGTCATATACTCGATAAAACTATTCCATACTAATATCTTAGTTACAATTACACCATAGCAATCCTGGGCACATTTGAAGATGAATTGAATGTTCTGATAAAAATAATCCACAATATAACTAACTTTTTTTGGAATGTTTAGGTTTTTTATTGTCTCTATTCATGCAGGTAAGAGATCAGTGTGCGACAACACTAATAGAAACATAAAAATAATATTTGTACTTTCAAAAACACATAAAACACGTTAACTGTAAATCGTTGAGATGAAAAATAGTTTTTTATCCGTGGGTTATGAGATCCAATTCACGATAATGAGGTAACTATTAACCTATCAAATATCAGTAGATTAGGATGACCATGGAAATTAAACAGTGAATTTTTCAAACTTTAAAGCTAACTTTAGGAAATTATTTCTCCAAAAAATAAAATATAAGCTATTCTTTCTTTTAGTAAAAAGTTATTTATTCTATATGATTTTATACTTTGTAAAGTTTCCCTTGGGTCATCATCTAGATATTTTAACTAAAATTGCAAGAAATGAGGTTAAGTTCAATTGCTCGTAAGATTTTTGCATAACAAGGACATGGCGACATTTTTTCTCTTCTTTTATTCAAATTAAAGAAAACAATACCCTTAGTATTAGTTTACAATTTTGAAAGGATCATCGTTTAAAAGCAATACCATTTACAATAGATGTGACATATTAAAACGTCGAAGGCATAAGCTTAAAGCCCATGAATCATCATATTAAAAAAATTATCTATAACTAATAAAAACACCTGAAATATATTTCTCGAGGAAAACACAAATAACATATAGAAGTCAGATGTGGATTTCTTGTTTTTTTCTCTCTTTGAAAAATACATTAAAGAGGGCGCTCACGATTAACATTTCAATAAATTTGAAAAGCAGAAGCGTGAAAAAGAAAAAAGAAAAAAAGAGAGAACTTACCGGTTGTTTGCTTATTAATTGTGAAGAGATTGACCCTTTAAAACTTGACTGCATGACCACAAATGGAGAGGAGTGGCAGCTATTAGTTTGTGAGGAAAAACCTTGCGATTTAATGACAACAAGAGATGGTGGTGAAGATGGATTACTCAAACAGTGAAGTGGCGATAAGCTGTCATCAGAATCGCTGCTGTTATTTGATAGAGGGGTCAGAGGAAGAGAACTTTCTAATAAAAGAAAAATTGTTCATTGAAATAAGTTTATACTGAAAGGCAATTTACGTATTGTGTCTGTGCGAGAAAGTTTAAAAGACGTTCGAAAAAATATATATATACCCTCTATATCTTCATTCTAATGTTGAACCCAGAAATCAAGATAATATCTGATATATAAAGTAATAGAAAACCACAGAAACGTTGTTGTTTAGAAAATTATACCCATAACAGACGCGTATAGTAAAACATTCTGAAAAACACTTATGACATTTTTAAACGTGTAGAGCAGAGTTCGTGACTTTGTGAACATATAAAGAAAAAAAATGCTGTAAACATATGAGAGTGTATGGTAGACTTCTTCTTCCGTAAATCTTTTCAATATATAACGGCAAAAGCTGTAAACGTTTGAGAGTTTACAACAAATCACGCGTTTTTCTAAAAAGAAGGAAGTTATTAACCTTCTTATCATGAAAAGCAGAACATTTTTGTTTCTGAAGAAAATGAAACAAAGCGATAAACCTTTTGAACAGATAAAACAAGCCATGTTTACTTGTGAGGTGAATGAACCAATCATAATTATATATAGCAGATCACGTGTTAAAAAACTGAACTGTCTATTTTAACTCACCAATAAAGTCCTGATTCTTGTCTGTTTTACCTACAGGTTGACATTTAACACCTGCGGTGCTATTTTCGAAGCGTGTAGTAAATACAGTAAGTGGATATTCGAGCAAATCTTGCTGTTGGGGTTTGGATGTTGGGCTTGATTCATCAGAAGATACGTAACAAGGAACATAAGAGGACGGACTTGGTGGCGAGGATAACGGTTCTTGCTTCACAGTGGTAATGCCAGAAAATTCGGTTTCTTCCGTTGCAGATGTCATCGGTATCCCTGGGAAACACTCCAGTACCATATCTAAAGAGATGAAAAGATATTTAGCTTATATAAAATGTGATAAAGTTTACTTTCAGTGAAAAATTCTGTATGATTTGATAGACAAACTGTTTCTGATATTTTCGGGACAGGCGTGGACTGTGGTTAGTATGTCGAACTGTGGATACGAGTGTCTATGGTTCTCGTTACCGAAAACAAAATCGCGTTCCACAATTTAGGGTCGTGGGTGCATAATGTTTGAGTGACGGTCAAATCCCACTATTCGATTACAGTATCCCTAGCGTTGGCGGTGGGTTCTTTTAACTACCTGCCTTTCCTCTAGTTCATCTGTTCAAAATTACAGAAAGCATGTGCAAATATCTCTTATGTAGCTTTCTATAAATGTCCGATACAAAACTAAAACCAAAGTGATATTTTCAAGCATCATACACATCAGTTTTTCTGATGTGATCTAGATGTTCAGTAAAACTACCCTGACATTATGATAAAACTTATTATGATAAAAATATTACCCCCCCCCCCAGTGGCACAGCGTTATGTCTGCGGACTTACAACCCTAGAAATCAGGTTTTGATACCCGTAGTGGGCACAGCACAGATAGCCCATATAGTAACGTTTTGTGAAAGTTTGTATAAACGATACTAACATATAAGCGACTTAGCCATAAGAACCCAAAAGCAGAACCAACGAATGGGTCGAATTTAAGTTTTGTGTTAGTACGGTTTCTCAACTAAATACTCTTAATTGATAATTTGAATAAACGCATTCTTAATCAAAACTCTGGTCTGTAAGATTTGATTCAATCTATTCGTTGATCAAACAAAGCAGCCCATAAAGCTTCATCAAAAATACAAGTTATCAAATATTGTTCGTAATGTCACATAGAAAAAAAGAACTAATTCCTAACTGAAAGAATAGGATTAGTCAGTACACACGTGTATTCAACATTTACAACGAAGAAAAAAGTAACAGAAATTATAACGAACATATAATGATATTATTTAATTATCAGTTACATCTTTTACAGCATGGAGGAATATTTTGAAAACAAGTACGACTTTTCGATACAAGTTTTAACGGTAGAGGTTTTAGTATTTAAATCAACATTCAACAATCCAACAATGTATTTAAATTTTTAGAAATGATAGTGGTTACTTGTGCATGTGCATATCAATTCGCGTGAATTGACAAATTCTTTGTTTATGGCTGAACAGAAAAAAACAAACAAAAAGTGGATAAATATGAAAATACGGAAATGTTGTGCGAAATATTTGCATACGATTAGGAATGTCAGGGGAAATAACGATCAAAGACATATAGAGATGTACCTGGATATTTGTTAATTGTGGGATTGTTTGATTTTATTAACAAGGCTTCTCTGATTTTTTACTGTTAATGTCAGGTTCATGTTTTAGTATGGTGACATTATATTCAGAAAAACTGTGTTTGTTTTCGTTCATATGTTCATGAACTTGGGAAGAGGGGTTTTGGTGTTCTTTTAACCTGATGTTCAAGTTACGACATGTTTCACCTATGTAAAAGGCTGGGCAATTGAAGTATTTACCAAGGTTGTGGTTAAAGAGTTATAAGAAGACATAATTGAGCGTAAGGTTATTGGTTTTTTGTGGACTTTCGGTAAACCGTAGATTTTTGGTGTTCCTGGTTGGTTTGTATGGAAAAAAATTTAAAGTTTAAAATTAAGAAGTTTATCTTTTAATAGTATTTTGAGTAGATTACTCATTTTTTGTTGTACGTTGGGTTAAGGTGAGCATTCAACAGAGTAAATTTAGACGTATCATTCAATATAGTTACCATTAAGGGATCGTACTGTTTGGTTGATAGAATCATGATAGAGTTTTCTTTATCAGTTCTTTGGATGGCAATGTCTTCGCTGTTTTTAAGAAGTGTTAAGCCTTTTCTTCTTGCTGATTAAAACTTTTGTTTTATAGGCTATTTATTTTTAGTACTTTCGAAGTTTTTCACTAAATTCATCTAGGAAGTATTTAAATGGACGTGCTTTTGATTTGGTAGGGAAATTGCTCATTAAGTTGTTCTTGTTTTATTTTTTGGAATGTTGAATATTTCCGGTGATTATTCGTTGTATTGCGATGAATTAGACAGGGATTCTTCTTGAGGTCTTGGACTTGGAATATTAGTTGTTGTTGATTGGATTTATGATTTTATTGTCTTATTCCTTTCTTGCACAGGTCTTCGAGGTCTGCGTGGTTTTTAAATCTAACAGTGTGATGGTGGGAGGAGTTACTACGCAGTTAAGACTTTTATTTAGGGCTGTGGTTTGAGATTCACCGAGTTGAAAGTTGATACCATTGTTCTTTATAGTGTTAGATTTTGTTTGTTTGGATTATGCTGACGAACGAAGTTTTTCTAGCTTCCTATCTAAATTTTGCTTGATAGTTAGGCCTTTAAAGTAGGCGATTTTCTGTATTAATGATGAAAGTAAGTTATAATCTTCAGGGGTAGTTAAACGTGCGTGATTGCTATGGAGGTTAAGTTAATTTTTGTGAAGAAATTTCAGTTCTCTGTGTTTTTCTTTCGTAGTTTGTTTGAAAAGTTTTATTTAAGCTTTTTCTATCATATTTAAGATTTTTGTGTTAAAATAAAGTTCTGTTTTATTTATAGGAAGGTTGACATCAATAATACTTATAACCGGTAAGTAAATTCAAAACGAAACTATTAATAAACTGATATTGTTGGCAGTTCACACCCTAAATGTGGAACTTTATTTACACTGGATCAAATGTACTTCGAGAGCGATATAAATGACCTATAATGCGACTAATATTACAGTGTTTGTGTAAACAAACAAAAAATTGAACAAGATAATAGGTAAGAAATCAGATATTGTAAAACTTAGTTTTTATATCATTATGCTCTTGCTTGAGAAAACAAATGAATACACGTTGTTCAAATGAGGTAGTAAAACGTTTAAACGACACCTCCTAGACAAGGTTTTATTCAAACCCGTAATATTCTGAGCACTTTAAACAGTCCTTTCCAATTCAGATTAAACTTAAATAAACCTATTGGTACAATCTAATTTACAAATATATCAAGTGGATCAAGGATTACTTGAAGTCACATTGAATCAAAGCTTGATTTTACGAGGGAGCAAGATTTGTATAAAACCACACCAACTTTAATTAACGTCTGGTTTCACGATGAACTGAGGCTTACTCAAATTTACACGTTGAAATAAAATTTATTCAAACTTGCTTTGTTCTCAATGTATCTTGGATACATTGTGATTAACACAACATCTTTTTTTTTAACATGGAGTCACATAACGCTTGATTTAAGCTCTGTAAAATTATTAACATGGGGTCACATAACGCCTGGTTTAAGCTTTGTAAATTTATAATAGAAATTAGCAGACACTTTGTATCTAGTATTATGTTGGCATTGTTCATACTAATGACTTAGAGTACAATGTTTTTAAATAAACCTGAAATAATTTTGAATGGAAAACACCTGTCTGTTCTCAAATGCTCAGATTTATATATATATATTGTTTTCTTTTTTGCGCCATTGCTTACCTTTTCCAATTCCTGGCTTTAGATATCTGTAGTAGATCAAATAGATTAAAACATGTTCAAGTTTCCCCATCAATATGTAAGGCGTAAGTATTGTAACAAACCCACCAGGTATTTGAGTATATCAGCAAATCAACCCAATTTCCTAGTGCTCAGTGTCAGTATCCGTGACAGTATTCTGTGTAGGCATATTATCACTGAATGTTGTAGGTTTCTTAGTGCAAAGCTATACAGCGGGCTTCTGCATTTTGTCCATCGCGTAGAATTAAGCCCTGAACTTTTGTATTGTAAGTCTGTGGACTTCCCGCTGGGAGACAATTATCCTTGATAAAAAAATGGTTACATCTGTATCATTTCTTTAACATCCATTTAATCACGCCTCACCAGTGCTAAAATTCTAAATGTCAACAGACAATAAATATAGCAATTTGTATTCATCAAAGCAAATAAGAAATTTTCGCAACCATATATAAATAATTTTTACGTTATTCAATGCTAAAAAACGGCCTAATTGAAACATTGATATTCAAAAGAGTTCCCTTTATCAATATTTTGCAGAAGCAGGTATCGTCTCCAATATTTGATGTCAGATGTCACCCAATGGATCAGCGGTAAGTCTACTGGCTTATAACGCAAAAACATCGGGTTCCAATACCCGTGGTGTAGCTTTGTGCTTAATAACAAACAAATAAACCATTAAATTGCCTAACTGAAGCTTTTATAAAATACATAAGAAAAATTTTACTAAACTGGTTACAAGTTTAGAAACTAAAAGCATTAGAAGAAACAGGCTAAAACGGATGGGGATATCGAAATGAAAAGGGTAATTTTCATTGTACAGTTATCGTGGTGTGAAATATGTGCATCCCACGACATCAATTAAGTGCTAGCAATTCCACTTATGCAATTATTTTTACAGAAAAGTGTTAGTTGAGTAGAAAGACCCATCTTCGAGTGGAGAACCCTTTTTACTACAGGGCGTATGGTTAAAAAAAAGAGAGAGAGAAAAAAAGATGTCAAAATAATTTTCTTATCATGTTTGAAAATCAACGTCTCCTGAAGGACCCCAAACGTTTTGGAAGATAAATCTTTCTTCATCCCAAAGCACTCAGTCTGCATTAATTGTTTTGTTTATTTTTAAGCGCGAAGCTATACCATGGACTATCTGTGTTGCCCAGATCGGGTATCGATTCCAGATTTTTAGAGTTATAAGCCTTTAGACCTATTACCGCTGAGCTACTGTGGTAATTATTAATTGTGGTTGTCAAAGTAACTTAATAATTTAAGTAATGACGATATAACAAGGAAGTGGTATAAGTTAGGAAAAATATATCTTTAGTTGAATAAAAATTTAATGTAAGTTAATTGTTAAGTTAATTTCTGATTTTTTTTGTCCTTTTGTTTCGATTTTATTAAAGGTATTTTTAGTTTCCTGGCTAGAGTATTTAAGTAAAAAAAAACCTTTAGTTC